GGATGCCTCCTGGTACCCGCCACAGGAGCGAAACGCCCGGCAGGAGTTCAAGGAGAGGCATATCCCTGGTGCGTCCTTCTTTGACATCGAAGAGTGCCGGGACCAGTCCTCCCCCTACGACTTCATGCTGCCCAGCGAGTCCCACTTCGCTGATTATGTGGGGGACCTGGGGGTCAGCAACAACACCCATGTGGTGGTGTACGATGGGGATGAGCTGGGCACCTTCTACGCCCCCCGTGCCTGGTGGATGTTCCGGGCCTTTGGGCACAAGGAGGTCTCCGTGCTGGATGGCGGCTTCAAGAACTGGGTGAAGGAGGGCCACCCCGTTACGGCAGAGGTCAGCCAGCCTGCCCCAGCTGTCTTTAAGGCCAAGCTGAACATGGCCCTAGTGAAGACCTTCGAGGAGATGATCCAGAACGTGGGGTCCCTGCGGTTCCAGGTGGTGGATTCCCGCTCCGAGGGCTGGTTCCGGGGGACCGAGCTGGACCAAGGTAACGGAAGTGGGAACAGCACCTGCCCCCTGCACCAGAGCGGGATAAGTGTCAATGCTAGTCTGGGTGTAACAGCTCCTCCCAGCCAGCAAACATTTTTCTAATGCCCAGGCATGCCTCAGCCTAACTCCTTCATTTACCTTAAGGGATCCACACTTGAGCATTCGGATCCCAGTGCACCCACAGAATGATTTTCTTGTAGTTGGTTGTAAAGCTGCAGGGGGAAATAGCAGAAAAGGTCTGCAGCCAGTTGGCTCCAGGATCCCCCATCCCACACCCTGCAGAAGTTAATCAGACAAATGCAAACACGGGAGGTGACAGCTCCCAGGGGTTTGTTGAGGGTCCTATCTAACACTAGCAGACATGCACAAACTATCAGTATTCATACAGGCACCTCTCACCATAACGAACACACCAGCAAAAGCCCAGGTTTTAGGCAGTACAGAAACTCAAGGGACATTTTCCTTTTTGCTGTGGTTCCCAGCAAAGAGAGAATTTGCTTGAGCTGATCTTAGTCCTTTTGCTCTCTGCCATTAAATCTAACAAGCTTAAGTAAGAAAAGCCCCAAACCCTTCCCAAATGTATGGGCTGTCAGCCTCTCTCTTTTGGATGCCCCAAGTAACAGGAACAAAAATTGATCTCATTACCTCGGTCAGACACTGGTTACGCAAGCAGCAGGGGTGGGAGAAGTCCTGTGCAACGGGGACAGCTGGTATAGCAGCGTGCCTGGAATGAAATTCAAGTTGGTTGTTAAAGGAGGCCCTTACCATGTAATTTAAATCTTAGTATATACCAGAATAACCTCTCCTCTGAAAGGGAATCACAGAAATGGTTTAAAAAGAAATGCAGGGTTTCAAAAAACAAAGCGTAGAAAAGCTCAGCAGCAGTTGTTGGGTTTGAGTGGAGCTCCATGCTGCAGAAGTGGGTGTGCGGCAGGCTTCTGCAGTGCTGCGCTGCTGCCATGCATGCAGGTAGTCGTTCTGTTCTGGCTGTTTTCTTATGTGTGTACTGCTGTACAGCCATTGTGTGTGACACCATGTCCTGAAATAAATTCCCACATCCAAACCTCAGGAGTGTTTGACTGTAAGTGGCTTTGTACACATGGTTTGCATAAGTGTCTACAGTGAGCCCCCCCAAACACACTCAGCCTGCACAAGACAATGCGGAAGGTGACAGAGAGGTAATGGGAGTGACAGAGGAGACAGTTGCAGGGGGAGAGGGGGAGTTAGGCTTATCACTCATTCTGTTTCTTCACCTACTGCAGTCCATCAAAGTGCAGGTTGAATTTTAACCTCAAGATGTGGATAAATATGCTCCTCACTGGGAGCTGGTGGATTTTGTATTCTTTCCCAAAGTGAGAGTTGTCACCAGGTGACAAATACAGCAGGCCCTCACAGCATCTTGAAAACAGTTTTTTTTCCTTTGAAATGAGTCAGCATGGAACAGTTTATTTGTGGTGGTCCAGTTTTGCTTCCCACAGCAGATCCAGCAGGATAAGCACACCAGCTGCAGCTGCTCATTCTCCAGGAGCTTGACAGCCGCCTGAACCAGGCTAGCCAGTAGCTGCACTACAGCCAGCAGCGGGGAAAAGGCTTACACCTAAAAGAGCAGTTTGAAATCAATGCTGATTAATTACAGGGGTCATCCAATCAGGGAGGAGAAACGTTGCCTGCAATTTAGAGAAGAAGAATGGTCTTGAGGTTAAGGAACTTGCTGCATTCTCAGGTGATTTCAGTTTAATTATTGCCTCAGCTCTTGACTTCCTAATTAAGTCAATTAATCTCTCCAGTTCCATGAGCTCCATCTCTAGAAGAGGCTAATTTCAGCTGACTCTTTTGCCTCTTTAGTTTTTAAGTTCCTTGTGGTAAGAATTAGTTGTCCTTGTTTTCCTTTTATGCAGCAGCTACCTTGCTGGGAGTTAGACCTCTGTAGCATTTAAGACAAGCCATAATACATGGCTAATTTTTAGTTGCTGGGAGAGATTTGTCCAGGTGGCCAGAATGGGGGAAAATGGATGGCATTTCTATCAGGCAGGTCTCATAGGTCTTAAATGCAGGCATTGCTTTGGATGAAAAAGCTTGGATGTTCATGCACAGTGTGCAGCGTAAGCCCATCAGATGTGCAGCCCTGACCTGTGCACTCAGTGGTTAAAGGTGTCCCTGCACAGTGCTGTGTTTTTGGAGGAACTAGCAACTCAGGCCTGCTCACTAGCTGTGATTCAGCAATGGCCCAGCCAGGTTCTGCAAGGGCCTGCTTACTCAGACTGTAGGGTGCAGGTCTATGGAACCAGCTTGACCTGAGACAATCCCAGGCAATCTAGGGGCAGATGATAAAAATAATTACATGATGGTTACTGGTGCTGACTCTGTCTGAGTATTGGGCACTGAAAACTGAGGAACAAGAATTACAGCTGAACAAATGCATACGGAAAAGTTGCAAATTTCTGAATTCTTTTGCAGACACCTGAGAAAAGAGGGGAAAGTTGCCAGACAAGAAATCCCTCATCTAAAAAGGAAAGCAAAGCCAAAGTAATTTCGTGAGCTTCCAACTATTTTTGTTCTCATTCTCAGCCCTTGCGTAGTCCTTATCTCCACTGCACATACACAACTCTTAAGGTTTTGCCCATTTTCCCAGCTCTCAGTCCTCCCTGCCCCAGGGAGCTGTTTTTACTCAGCTTGAATGTTCAATGGCATTGAGAGTGAGAATGAAATGCTGCTGCTTCTTCCCCACCTTCTCCAAGTGGAGTCTGCAGCTCAGAGTGGACTGGCTCTACTTTGACCATGAAGTAATACTCAAGGCACAACATGGAGAGTGAGAGACTATCAAAGTGTGTTTCAACCCACAGGAACCTACAGTCCAAAGCTGTCCATTCGTGTGATGAGGTTGACAAACATCAGCTGCCAGAATTAACACCATGGCCCTGCTCATTCTTAGAGTTGACTCTTCTGGCTGTATATGCACACAGTATTTTGACAATGGTGGCAAAGGCCTGTTGATCTGACTGCGAAGACTTTTCAGGGAGCTGGCCAGGACCAAGCTTAAAGTGTTCCTTCCAGTGAGTTCACAGTGGGGTGGGTGAGATCACTAATGGTCCTTTCCAAGGCATAAAACTTGAATGGAAGAGGGAGATAAAAAAGGAGGCAACAGAGGGGGTGTTTGGAAAGGAAGAGCTATCTGCAGCCAGCCAACTCCAAGACCATGGGAAGTTAAATGCGGACAAGACACATCTTTTATCTTTTTGACATTAAGAAATTCCATCTGGAGCTCTCATCGCAAAGGGAAAGGCTTTTCTCCTTTCCCTTCTCCAGAGAGAAGGGGCTGGAGTCTTAGCTAGATAAATAGCCAACAAAAAATATATATTTAAGCAGAGATCTTAACAGATGTGCAAAAGGAAATTAAGCAGTGGAGAAGATAACATATTATAGGTTACAAATTGTGAGGGAGGATTGCCAGAGGCCAAGCTGAGTGAGACTTGGCAAAAGGAATTAAAACAAATAACAAAAACTGCTGGAGCAAAGTGAATAAAAAAAGAACAAGGAGAGAAAGAATAAATAGGGCTGCTATGCAGTTAGCAGGGGTTCCAGATGAAAGATTGTGTACAGCCTCAGAATTATACTGAGTCTGGGCTACTGTTTTTTTTTTATTTTTCTCCTGAGGGTAAGTCTGCAGAGTAGGGGGAGGAGCAGCAAGAGGAAGGGGAAAGAAGTGGAAATAATAATTTCTAAAGAGGAAGTATAACCAAAAGATATCCGTGTGCTCAAACCCGTGAGGCAATGATCTCCATCCCAAATATGTGTCAAAAATCAATCACGTGACATTGCAACTCCATGAGGCAAGAATTTAATAAATTTCATCAGAGCATGGTTCTGTAGGCCAGAAACACTAGCAAAGGTTGTATTTGTATTTAGGATAAGTACAGCTTAACCTAGGCAGCTGTTGATCTGTTATCATAACATGGATAGACTGGAAGGCTTTCAAAAAACTCTTCAAGAAAAATATTTGAAATGAAGGCAAAATTGAATAAAATACCGCAGTAGACTTGCACTGCAGCTAAGGGCTCTATTTCCTTGCCAACAGAATTGATTTGCCAGGTAAGAGAAATGGGAACATGCATGCCTGGAAGTTATGTCTGATCTTTTCTTCCAGCCATTGGAAGCACCTACAAGGTAGATTTGTTCCTACAAAGTAGACTTGTTCCATTTAGACTTCATTAATACTTTGGACATAATATTAGAGGGGCAATGATTACTTCAGTGTGAGAAGAGGGAACACAGCACAAGTACTGTTAGATTCTCAAAAAAATGACTGAAAGGGAGATAAGGGAGATGCTAATAGCTTGTGTTGAAAGCAGATCTGTGGGGCTGGAAGTTGTCAGCATGGTCCAGCACATCAGCTGGTTGTCAGCATTTATTAACTTCCTGTCTACCAATTGAGATACTAGGAAATGCCACCTCTTTATCCAGAAGCCTGGTGGTCACCTAGAACTGTTTCTAGGGTGGCTGAGGCAGGGGAAAATGTATACAACGACCTCTTACTGGGTTCAGGCTAAGGGCATGAGGCTGGTGGGAGTGCTGAGTACTTGCTGTCAATATGTTGGAGCAATAGCAGAAAGGCAGAAAAGCTATTTCAGCTGCAGGGCAGTGTTAGCTCAAGATGTATGGACTGTCTGTGATGAACTGATGAACTTAATATTGGAAATGAATATTCCTCCTGATGTGAGCAAGGAGATCCCTCAGCGGGAAGTTTCATGGCAAGAATACAAACTGGTTCTGAGAGGTTCTGGTTCTGCTTTTATGAGAGGAATCCTATAAAGTGATCACTGTAGTAGCTGCAAGCCAGGCTCTGTAATCCTAGGGTTCCTTCCTGGAGTTTCTAAGGGATCAATACTGGGACCAGTACTGTTTAATATCTTCATCAGTGACATAGACAGTGGGATTGAGAGCACCTTCAGCAAGTTTGCAGATGACACCAAGCTGAGTGGTGCAGTTCACATGCCTGAGGGACGGGATGCCATCCAGAGGGCCCTGGACAAGCTCGAGGAATGGGCCCGTGTGAAACTCATGAGGTTCAACAAGGCCAAGTGCAGAGTCCTGCCCCTGGGTTG